TATCTCTTTCTTTGTAGCCAGATTTTTTTTCTTCTATAAAACATATCAGGTTTCTGTCTTAGGTTGAGCCTGATAATTCAGGCTCAGTAGGCAGCCAGGTCAGAGCTGGCCTAAGGCTAAAGAGGGCCCTAAACAGAATTTATTTTGGGAAGTCTTCCAAGTAACATCAATTGCCACATCTACAGTAGGACCCACTGATATTAGAAAAAATGTGATATGCAGTTGTTGAATATTGCAATAACAGAATTACTTATGAGAATGCATTCAGCTATTTCAAATATGTTTTTTTTTTTTTTTTATCTCGAAAATAATGTTTTATCAGCAAGGTGATTCAGACCAACATCTGCTGTTTTGAATAAAAAAAACGATATATAGATGTGCTTTTTTAAATAATTTACTGTCTTACCTCTTTAACTTCAAGGCGTTTCATGCTTAAAAATGTAAGTCTCTTCAAACAGAGATTAATTGCAATGATATCAAATATAATTAAAATGTTTAATTTGCATTAACTCAAATCACTTGTTGAAACACTTTACAGATACATTACACACAGACTGTTTAGTAATTAGAGGTTTCCACTCACAGCTAATTAAAGTAGGAAGAGTAGAATATCAATATTAACATCTAAGCAATAAAACTTAAAAACATTTTTTGAACATAAACTCATTCAGTTTGGCGGAAATATAAATTGCATAGAGAGCCTGAATGAACAACGCATCATTTAAAGGTGAACACCTAGCCCAGTTCAGCGAGTTCCCCCCCAGTAATCATTTATTTTGTTTCCTTTAACTATATTTTAAACTGAAATTAAAAACAAAATCCTCGTATTGTGCATAAATGATAATAATTATAAAACAAAGTTCGTAAGGGTTTTCAAAGCTGTTGAGGCAAACCTATCAGGTCTTAAACCCTTGAGACGGACTTAACTTGATTTTAACATTCACAACTCAGAACTTTAGGAATCCAAGTTCTACTGTATGCCCTAACCACTCCCGCTACTGCGCATGTGTTTGCACAAACGGTTTGAAGCCAATTCAATGATGATGGTATGAGGACCTGACGTCCACAGATGAGGGTTGTGCTCATGGCCCAACACTGTGCAGGATGCTTGGCATTAGCCAGAGAACACCAGGATTGGTAAATTCGCTAGTGGCGCCCTGTGCTTTTCACAGATGAAAGCAGGTTCAGCCTGAGCACATTGGACAGACATGACAGCGTCTGGAGACACCGTAAAGAGCAATCAGCTGCCTGCAACATCCTTCAACTTGATTGGTTTGGCAGTAGGTCAGTAATGGTGTGGGGGACCATTGCTTTGGAGGGTGACACACCCCTCCATGTGCTCGCCAGAGGTACCATGACTGCAATTAGGTACCAAGATGGGATCCTCAGGCCCCTTGTGAGGCCATATGGTGGTGTGGTTGGCCCTGGGTTCCTCCTAATGTAGGACAATACTATACCTCATATGGCCGAAGTGTGTCAGCAGTTCTGCAAGATGAAGGCATTGAAGCTATGGACTGGCCCGCCCATTCCCCAGACCTGAATCCGAATGAGCACATCTCGGACATCATGTCTCGATCCATCCACCAGAGTCATGTTGCTCTGCAGAATGCCCAGGAGATGACTGATGCTTTAGTCCAGGTCTGGGGGGAAAGTCCCTCAGCCACCTCATCAGGAGCATGCCCAGGTGTTGTAGGTAGCTTATACAGGCACAAGGAGGTCACACACAATAATGAGTTTCATATTGACCTATTTTGGGGACATTACATTTAAGTTGGATCAGCCTGTAGTGTGTTTTTCCGCTTTAATTTTGTGTGCGACTCCAAATCCAGGCCTCCATTGGTTAATAAATTTGATTTCTGTTAATGATTTATGTTCTAATTTTGTTAGCCTGTTCAACAAAGTGTTAAATGAGAATATTTCATTCATTCCAATTTATTGAGTGTTTTTTAGCAGTGAATATTAAGATATATTACAAGTTTTTATATTCCAACTGAAAACCAACAGTTTGTTTGCAATCAGAGCCATTTTCCCCGATGTGCCCAGCCACTGCTTTTTTCATCATATTCACGTAGAACCATTCAAACTTGGTACTGGAGCCGCCTCTAAGGATTCTCCTAATGAGAAAGATACCGCCTTGGATAAAGACATTCGGACAAACGTGTCAAAACCCTGAGAAGGGTTGAGACGCCCTGTTCCTGCGGCCAAGAGGGAGGCACACCAGTGTAGCAGATGGAAACAAAGACTGCTTTGCTTTCATTCTGAGGGAAAGCAGCTGCAGCGCAGAAAAACATACTTCAAACACTTTGTTTTTCTCTTACCGCCTTTGTCGAGGTCATATCTTTTTTTTTTTTTTCTGCATAATTCAAACCTAAGCAAACAGAAACAAAAGTTCTTTATCAGGTGCACCACAGACAGTTTAAAATGTTTCTAACATTTGTAGGGTATTACATGCTTTGCTAAGTTGCTTGTTTTTTTGCTATATTTTTTTCTAAAACAAATGTCTTGGAAGATATCTAGTAGATTACAACCCAAGAAGTAGTTCACATTATCAAGCCCACAAAGATCAGGATGGTTTTATCAGGCTTTTACATTAAGTACTGCATATTTTATGGAGTGGGAACAAATGGAAAAACTAAGTCTTAAATCATTTTAATGCTTTGTTGATCTACATTTTGATGACAGTCTCTTAAAGTATTTGTCCACCAGCTTTACATAGAAACTGATATTTTTGGCTTTCTTCACCCAATATTTGAGGTTCTTCCTGACTGCATGGGAAACAACTCTAAACAACAATGTTACGATTAGATCACAGATTCTCAATAGGATATAAGTTTGGACTTTGACTACGCCGTTTTTGACCTCTGTAGCTCTTTCTGTTTGCTTAGAGTCCTTCTTCTGCTTGAAGGTGACCCTTAATTTATTGCTCAAGTGTTTTCCAGCTTCTAAGAGGTTTTTTTCCTGAATCGTTTTGTATTTAGGTGTATCCATCTAACCATCAAATTAGAGCGGTTTCACCGTCCCTGCTTATGCAAAGCGTCCCCACAGTATAATGCTTCCATCACTGTGTTTCGCTGTAGAGATGATGTGCTAAAAGTGTGTAGTGTGAGTCGTTTGCCCATCATAGCATTTATTTAATTTAGCAATCATATTTTGCCAGTGGAAAGCTGAAACTTTGTTTCTGTGCACTTAGATTTGCCCATCTGAGCTGTAGATCTCTGAAGCTCCTTTGGGATTGGCAAAGGCCTTTTGGTGGCTCATAATTAATGTTTTTCTAACTGATCCGTTTGTGTTGGTGGAAGGCCGTGTCTCAGTAGGGTTGCAGGAATGATCAGAGTGATATACTGTGTTTTCTACCACACTTGGCATTTAATCGGTCGACCAAAATGTACCATTTTTTTCCTTTAAGTCCTTCTGACAAGAATCCGTTTTTTTCCAAATGTATTTTTGGTAGTGATACTTGTTTTATTTATTTTTTTCAGTTTTTAGATATTGGATTAAATAGCAAAAGTCAACAATAAGGATAATGAATATGTGGTGCTCTATTAAATTAAGACATGTATAGAATGTAGTCAACTGTTATGATCAATGCACTGTATTGTTTCCCCGGGGTTACGGTACAAAGCCAAAGTTGAATGTTTCTTAGTTGCAGCATCGTTGTATGAAATTTTTTCGCCACAATTAGATTCGTCGTCTCATCACTACTCATCTTTCACACAGCCACTGAAAACAGAAATGTACTTCAGTCCAACTGCAGTTGACCTGGAGATCAGGATTTTACCACGCTGTACACTGGGAAATGCTGTCTTCCTTCATGCAAAACAATACAACTTTTCTCCACCGGGGGAGCCAAAATCAGCCAAAACTGAAAGTTATTTTAAAAAGTTTTAAGAAGGCTGGGGCTGTATTAAGGGTTGAGGGGATGTAAAAACTTTCTTGTAAGCAAAAGGGGGGCCCAGCAAGAATAGTTTGGGATCAGCCCTGCCTTGAGATCACTTGAAGTGCTTGCATTGTTGTTCCCTCCATTTTCTATCCAGTGTTCTAGACTGCACAGTGGATCTGTTTGTAGCACTGTTGCCTTGCAGCAAGAAGGTTCTGGATTTGTCCACGGACCAGGGTCTCTTTGCATGGAGTTGCATATTCTCCTCCGTGCATGCATGGGATTCTCTCCGGGTACTCCGACAGCCCAAAAACATGACCGTTAGGTTAATTGGCTTCTCGAAATTGCCACTAGTTGTGAGTGTATGTGGATGGTTGTATGTGTCTGTGTGTCCCTGTGACAGACTGGTGACCTGTCCAGGATGTACCCTCCCTTTTAGCCACAGACTGTCAGAGATAGGCACCGGTCCCTCTGTGACCCTGACAGAAAAATGGATGTTAATATCTATTTTGACTATGTTTATTTTTTGTTTTTAAAATGTGACTTGTGTAACATGTGTAATAATTTTTATTGTGTAAATGGAAACTCTAAGACTCTTCCCAAAAATATCTGCAGTTAGACCGATGTCAAAATAATCTGCCTCAAAATGACCTAATTAATATCAAATTGATAACCTCATTTGATAAATTGTTAAGATGTAATATAAAAGATAATATATTTTAAAAGGTGTCTTTTTGCAAAATGTGGCACTGTTATTAAAATGCTTATAGTATAATATAAATACAACATCTAAATGATGTGAGACATGGTGCAGCTTACACAGATGTACAGCTGCATTGGCTTTTATTTATGAAGATTACAAAATTGTCCTCTGAAAAATATCAGTGTCTAATGAATGTTGTGGTCCTCTTGGATTTATTTACTGATGTAAGTTAACTTTTTATTTTATTTAAACTGACTAAGATGCACCTGAAGTTTATTCTGTTGTAAAGATTAGGTTTTGATAATAAGCAGCTTGAGTGTAAATGTTATTTTCAGCAGTTGATTGGCTGGTGTGAATAGGGATTTATCGCAAATGTTTTAACTAAAGCAAAGCATTGAACTCTTCCATTTTTTTCCACAGATAGTGTCCAACATCCTGATCTTCTCCTGCTCCAACATTGTTGGAGTGTGTACCCACTACCCAGCTGAGGGCTCCCAGAGGCAGGCCTTCCAGGAGACCAGGGAATGCATCCAGGCACGCCTTCACTCCCAGAGGGAAAACCAGCAGCAGGTAGGCTTTCAAGGTGACATTGACACGTGGTTACAGCGTTGGATTGCTTTGACTGTGACATATATAATACACTATCTGCTACAGAATTATAAAGCAAAAGTTATACTTTGTGGTAAAGTTGAAATGCCCCGGCATACTTTAATGGGAAATATTATTGTTGCAATTCTCCCTTAATTTATCTCTTGTTGTGCTTTTGAAGAATATTCAGCTTTCTTTTCAATTTCCTTTCAATTTCTTACACTTTTTGACTTGTTTTTGGCTCTTCTTTCTGAAACAGAAACTTTGGAAGAAAAAAAGTGTTGATTTCTTTAAGTACTTGATTTTGATTTCTTGTAATTTTGTAATAAAACCATGCAGCAGGACATACCAGGTGGTTCTGCGTTATTAGGACACACTTCGGTTTAAATTTCGCCGGATGTGTTTAATTTGTGCTTGTTGTAAACCCTCTAAAAGGCTGTTTTAAATAAGCCATTTGTGCCATTACAAGCCATTACATATGTGCTGAAATGTGGAACTCAATGACTACATTTTTTACTGTAAGCTTTTACTGTTGGCTTTCACTTTAAACCCTTTATTGTTTTACCTGTGCATATGTATTTATAATAAATTGTCCACATTTTTCAGCTTAAAGATTATTTGAATTGTTTTGCCATTTGATAAGATTACAATAAAAAGAAGCTGAGCAAGTTGGAAGTTTTAAACATCATCCTACTAGAGTATCAAATGTATACAGCACCTAAAATTCTGTGTTAGATCATCCATTTATTAGCACAAATATCTGCCTCTAGCTTTAAAATTGTGCCTTGGAAGTGACTTGTACAAATTTGAGTTCCTAATTATTATTGTTATAAAGGGATTTATTTTAAATCTTCATTCATATTTACCACAGCCATACAGTAAGTTCCCTTCTTTGATATCTACTCCCATTTATTATTACCTTACGTCTATCCTTTCCTGCAGGAGCGTCTCCTGCTCTCAGTACTCCCTCGTCATGTTGCCATGGAGATGAAAGCTGACATAAATGCCAAGCAGGAGGACATGATGTTTCATAAGATCTACATCCAAAAGCATGACAATGTCAGGTAAACATCAGACGAACTGTGATGATGAGGGAATATACCGAATGAAAACTAATATGGATAGTGCTGTATGACCTCTGAATCCCTCATTTTAAGCTCTAAAAAGAAAAAAATCTTCATAAACATTAATTGAAACGTCTGTTAGAAATAACATTGAGGAAATTGGGAATTTTAAAAGCCTTAAAATACCAATAGATAAGGTAGACTTCATATCTTTGTAGTCATCTTGGGGTCCTTTCAACAAACTTCCTCCAAGAAGTCATTAATCTTTTTGTAAAACCTCCAAATCCTTAATTACTTCTACTTATCTAAAGCTTGATGATTCAAATTCCCTGTAATGGCAGTGATTAATCTGACCATATGGTTTTCATAAAGAAAAAAAGAAATCAATACTCAATTCAAAAAGAGTTACTCAGCATCCTGAGCTGAGGCCTGGGAAAGTTTAAAAGCAACACTGTGCAACTCTGACCAAGTATTAACTTAATTTGATATACATTAAATAATTTTTTAAGTCAATACGCAGTGATTAGTGTGTGTTGATGCTTCTTGCTGTGTAACTTAAAAGGGTGAGATCTATCACTGATCAAGCAGTCCAAACACCCCTTAAACACAACAGCAAACTAGTATAACCATTGTTCTTACACAGAAGAGATGTGACGCTGATCCGATTAGTCTTACTTTTGGTTCTCTGATACAGGATTGAACTCAAGAGGTGTGAATGTCGGGCTTGCTTTTTAATTAACCTCTAATTTGGCTTATCCAAACTGGTTGCCTATCATAGACACACAAAAAACTGGAGGTCCGCGACCCCTAGGGGGTCCACAGAGGTACTGCATGGGGGTCGCGAAAGTTTTGGTTGATTACTTTTTTTTTAATTCCCCACTAAAATGTTTTCCACTAATTGAAATGTCTTTAAATCCACATTAACATCAATTCAACACACTGTAATAAACAGATAAATGGAGGCAGGAGATGTCTTTCAGTCATCAATGCACACATTCAGCGAAACACAGGAGCTCTTTCAAGCTGGGCACCGTTTCATTCACAACACCTGCCACATCAATGAGGAATCAGAATCAGAAATGCTTTAATAATCCCAGAGAGTAATTACTTTCCTTGCATTACTCCAATAGAGTGACTATAGGATCAGTTTGATATAACACAATTTCATACTATATATATAATCAGGGGTCCCCTCTCCATCTCACTATCAGTTTGGGGGTCCTTGGCCTGGAAAACATTGAAGACCCCTGGTCTAATCAATTCACAAACAAGACTCTGCATCAAACTGTAAACATCACTACACTGAGAATCTTTAAAATGGGACTCAACTCATTTTTATCAGCAAGATCTATTATTTTTTTCACTGCTCTGAACCTTCCTACACGGTCTACATTTTGATCACTGCTGCAATTTATAAATAGAAATTTTCATTTCACTGCTAAGCTTCTGCTCATTCACAGTCGAAAAGCTGTATGTATCGAAATTTTGTTTTGTATACAAAAAGAAAATAGTTTGTCTAAATCTAAGTCTAAGTCATCGTACTCAGGGAAAATACAAACTTGCAACTAATTGAAAAATCCGGCTGCAAATACATTGTTTATATGACAGACAGTTTAATCAATGTTAATCCAGAAGGGTTGAGCCCACCCACAAATAGTGGCAGAGGAGGTAGGAAAAGAACAGACGTTGCCATGTCAACATGCTCTGTGGTATTTTCCCAAGAATATTTTCCACCCATGTCCTTCCACAGTATCCCTGAGAAGTGTAATATGATTCATAATGGCATGGAAATAAATGGTGCTTCTACATTATTAGCATAAATAATAGGTCAGATGTTTAGAGACTTTGTGTTTGTTTTAATATATTCACTCAGTAGTGTTACAGTAAATTAACATCTAAAATAGGTTGGAAAAGTTACAGCAAATCTTTTTTTTTACTACCAATTAATAAAACTCCGTTTCTTTTAAGATGTTTTCTCAAAGTTAGACATAACTCCATCTGTGTGCTAATAAACTTGGTATAAATAGGTGCTCTGTTAAGGCCTCAAAATTTTGGTAGAGCAGTAATTCTCCAGCACAAACCACTGTAACATCTCCACAGCCTGATGTCAGAGATTTGAAGATATTGTCTTATTTAGTGCTTAAATCAATACAGTTATATTGCAGGCCCCATAACTTTTAAGAAAGTAGATATTTCTGTACAAACTCCACAACAGAGGCAAAAATGACCTAAGCAACAACAATCGACATATGTATTGCCTTTATGTAGCCCTTAGTCAGGTGGTAGAGTGGTACACACTAAATAATAGCAGCCCTTTATCGCTTTAATGTTTCCCTATGAGACCTTACTGTTTAGAGCATCAAGTCACATATTGGTTCTCTAAAAAACAAAGATCTTTTCAGGTCTTTAATGTAATTCTTTCTGTAGAAAAGAACTTCTTCCTTTTTATGTTTTTGAAGAATCAGCGCATGAAGGAAAAAGCTGAAACTGAATGTAAGCGTTTAAATAAGCGCTTGTATTAAAGTTTAATTAGTCCTTTTAATGCAACAAGCCCAAACTATGCTGCATGTTATTTTATCTGATACATGTACATATTATTTCATTATTGTGGGCAGAAAATAGAAAATGACACAAAACTTATTTGAAAAAAAAATCAACAGATGAAAAAGGTCCCTTGTTCTTATGTTTTGCTTGTTTGGTTTCATATCTCTAAGTAAAATGTCTTTATTCAGTTCTTGGAAGGGAAAGTTGTGGGGAAAGCTTTAACCAGAGTGAGTTTATAGTGCTATATTTCAAGCTTTTAGTATCAATCTAAAAGCTGGTAAATCTGACATTTGAAAATGGAAGAACTTTAAATTAGCAAAGAAATAGCCATCCACATGATTTTAAACTAAGGGCAATTGGACCGTTCATTAGAGAGGCAGCCAGAAGCCAATAGAAAACACTGTAAGCATGGTGGTGGTATAGCATCAGGCTGTGGGGATGCTATTTTTCATTGTCAAAAAGCCGGTAAAATCCTGGCATTTGTGAACCAGTTAGACTTGTAGATGATTGGGAATTTTTGTAAAGATCTGAAAATCGTGGTAAACTCTCTTCATCTAGTCTGAGAGTTAGTCAAAGACTTTCCGATAAAAATATTACAATCCAGAAATAAAAATATAGGAATTAAAAATAAATCCAGGTCATTATTTTTGGATTTTCTGCTATTGGTTTTTTTTTTTTCTCGTTTTTTGTTGTTGAATTGTTTTAAAAGTAAGATACAAAACAAAATAACAAGCACCAGGGCAGTCAGATGCAATTCAACAAGTTTGCTATTCTCCTCTAAAATGTATACAGTATTTGGTCATTGACAGAGAAAGGGAGATAAAACTTTTTTTTATTATGAGGAAATTTTTTTCTTTTTAAATTTCAAATTCAAATAAAAAAAATCTACAAAAACTGAATTTTCAAAATTTATAATTTTTATGAAGGGACAGATTTTAGGAGAGTTGTGATCTGTTTTAACAGATTTACCCCTAAAAGCAGTGGAATAAGGTGATATGAAATAACAAGATGCTTAAATCAGCAAGACAAAGCTTGGACCCCAAATATAGTGGGATAATAGATGTTCTGTGGCTGTCTGAGAGCATGAAGCACATTAGCAGCATCAACTGATCTTGGTCGAGTTCTGTCAGCGGTCACGAAAGCATCGTACAGTAACGAGGTGTGACTGGACTTGTTTTGGGAATCAGTCAGCAGCTTTTGGTAATTGGGCTCTGCTGAGAGGCAGAGAAACAACAGGAAGAGGATAGACAGCTCCCACTGCCACAACTAAAGAGCAAGAGGGTAAACAGAGGGAGGTAGAGACACGAGGAGGGTGCTGTTTGGGGTTGAAAGCTTGCTGCTGCTGTACAGATGCATTAGGCATATGTCTGTCCGCAGCTTTTAATTTGGGAATTCAGAGAGCCTCGCAACAGAGGTGGCAAATCGGTTAATGAAGCATGGAAGGCATGTAATTACATCCTTTTGATCCAATACAAAGGCACAAATTATCTCTGATGGTTGAGGCTACACATTTTTACCCATTCAGAGTGGGTCACTGTTACTTAACCCATTTAATACCACAGTGAATGAATCATCTGGGTGCTCAGGTAAACAAACATTTTTACAGGTTAAATTCACATCAAGTATCAGCCTTTAAAAAAAAAAAAAAAAGCTTATCGAAAATTTTAGACTGTTAAATAGGATTAGGACATATTTACTTTTATCATGACATTTTGTGCTATTTATTCCAATATTTATAAAATGGCTATACGCTTTTATTGATGGTAATAGATTGTATGGCTTTGACGGAATCTAACATTAAAGTAAGGACTGTTCCAATGTTACAAAAAGGCTTAGTTAAATAACATATCAGTGAATGCTATTCAAAAGCCTTCATTATGATAAAAAAAGAAAAGGCCAGTGACATTGCCTGATACGGCGAGCCGGCTGGAACCAGGCCTAGAGTGTTGTGGTATTTTGGCGAGTGCCTGGTGGATGGGTTAGACCTGAAAAGGCCAAGCCTAAACGAGAGACGGAAGGGCATCCTCCAGTGGGAACAGTGGGAACCATGAGGGACTATGGAATTTCATTTCATTGATGGGAAGGAGTCCGGGCTTCTGCATTAGATTGAGCATTTACTGGCTGGAGATAACCAGCAACCGGCGGCTCCGGAGCCGCATGCGGCTCTTTAGCGTTCCCCTTACGGCTCCCTGGAGCTTTTTTTTTTATTTTATTTTAATATGGTATGCAGAAGGTCAAACAAAAAATAATTATGTTTTCCAATGCTGTAAACATTTGTATAATAAATAAATGTAAACAATAATTTGCGTCATAGCCATAGAGATCAGTGGTCATAACTTGCAACCAGCGCTGCGCAGTGCCAGGCTGCTGGAGTGTCTCAGACCATGGATCCCAAAGGGGAAAAAAGGAAGATAGCTGATGATAAAAGAGGATTCAAAGGATGGACCAAATCATTT